CACTCACGGCCTCACGTATATGTATGTATATATGAAATTTTTTTCGGAAATGGGTGTTTTAACATACCCACACCAATTTTCTATATTAATTAAAATATGTACAGTAGCGAACAATAATTCGAAAAAACAACATAAAAGTAAAACATAAATTTTGTGCAAATCTCAGGAAACTTCCATAAATTTGGACACTAATTTTCAACATTCTATTAAAATTTTAGTAGCAAAATCCTAAGTTATCAGGATTATAGCCCATTCACTTTTAGTATGACAATGCACAAGTTTGAAGTTGTTGAAAAATCGCGTTGATTTGTGACAATTTTTTTCACGCTGTTTCTTCCAAACAAAGTATGATCGACAAAATTTTTTGTATGGAACAAAATAATAACAATCGTGCAGTTCCATAAGTAACGTAACTCTTCTACTTTACGTTTCTTTCCGGCAGGCTGTAGGTGTGTTTTTGGTTAGTGTATTGGTGTTTTTGGTTCAATGTGTTGCATATTTTAAATAAATTGTAATAGAAATGGAAGAAATTGTAATTCAAATGAAAGGAATTGCAAAAGATAAGAGCAAATGCCCAAAACAGGTGATCTCAGCTGAAGGCATTTTTTGGCAAATCAGTGCCATGTGCTAGCAACTTCAAACTCGCACTATATTATATTAAAATTGAAACTGCATACTTCAAATTTGTATGGAAAATCCTAACAGAAATCGCATTTAGTATGGTAATTTATTGTACTTTCTTGAGTTTTGCACAAAGTTTAGAGGTATTATTTTTATGTTTTTTGGTGTAGTATGAAATGTATTAAACAAATATCGAAAAGAAATTAGAGTAACAAAAAAAAAAGAGAGGGCTTATATTCAATACCTTCTGTTTGCACTTTTCACAAAAATGAGATTCTGATATAAAATCCACATAAGACTTAACTGTCATCGGTGATATTAACGCTGACCTTGTATAACGCTTGACAGAATAATTTACTATTAACTTGCAAAGTCAGTTGTTGTTGTTAACATCAGTGATGACAGGTAAGTCCCAGATGGGTTCTAACATCACAAAGTAGTTTTTGTGAAAATTGCAGATAGAGGGTATGAAATATAAGCCCTCGTTATATTGCGAAAAATTCCCTGAGCGAATACATTTGTTTGCCACTGTATGTGGTTTTGTTTTATTCTTCCATTTGAACAAATATTCTCAAAAATTTTAAAGCAAAACCAAACCTAAATTTTCCAGGTTTATTTTTGTTTTTGAATGGGAACGATTTATTCACATGGAATGTGCGATAACGCTGATTGTATACTTTTTCCTATTTCTTATTTCCCTTAATGCTTCTTAAACTATAGAATGAATATGCAAATCTTGGGTGCGATGTTGCGTCAGGGGATCGGCCATAGGAACTTTCCATATGTCATTGAAATTTTACAAATTAGTTTGGATGAACATATTAAACCTAATGACATTTTTCTTACACATCTTTATAAATTCTATGATCGTTGTGCGCGTTCAATTGATGAAAGAGTAAGTACGCGAAAAACATCTTGTATACATAATATTCGTATGTATTTAGGTGTTCGTGCCTTCGCTTGAACCACATGGAGATTACGCCTCTGTAACTCGACCTTAATTAGCTCACAGATTGATACTTACAGCGCCATCTACCGAAGTAGTACGAACCAATGCTTGATCGGGTAGCAGCGCTCGGCTGTCGTACTTGTCAGTACGCTTTTTGCCTTCATTTTATTAGCTCGGGATGTAACTATGTAATATTGATGCGCCTAAAAGATGCAGCGATTTCTATTCTCAAGTTACCTAAAGACAGTACGAATGGCAATTATAATAGAGAGGCTTCAGTTTTTTAAACTATAATTTTAGTTGCGTTCCAGATATTCACGATTTGCAGGTTTTTTTGCAGGAAAGCGTTCCAAGTGCCAAAAAAACCTGCAAGTCAAACCACTTTTGTGAGAGTTACTTGCTCTCTCTCTCAGTCAGAAGTTGCAGGTTTTATTCCAATTTTATTCCGAAGTTTTTCTTTCTGCAAGTTCATGAAAAGTGTCAAACGATAAGCAGGGTTGCATTTGTAAACAAAAACATAGCAAAGAACATTAAGCGCCACGGAGACAATCAAATAAATACTTTAAGCATTGCATATGTGTGAGATTGGCTCGTGTATTGCCCGCAAACGTACAAATAAACGCGTTAATTCAACAAGCAATCTCTTTTTCTTGTCCGTGCACTTACCACGACGATCAGAAGGCAAATGCGCTTGTTTTTTGTCAAGCAAAACGCGAAACGGTTGATAAAGATATTTGATCGTCTCCATGGCGCTTAACATTAAAAAAAAGTGGAAGTAGTTACAGGAAAAGTGGTTTTTCGCGTTCCAGGTGACTTTTATTTTTTCTCTCTTGCTCTTCTCTTTCAAGAGAGTAATTTTGTTATTCGACAGTTTTACAGGTTTTTACATGAAGTTATCTGGAACGTAACTTTTATTGTGACAGCGAAAAGGGGAAATTTTTGTAGGGGAAATTTTTTTCCTCCAGACATCATGCACACATTCGATTGGTTACTGCACTGGTAAACTGCTTATATGTTACTTTCAGTTTATGGCGTGTGCAGCGATGACAACTATAGGTCATTTGGCCCAAATATTAGCGGATAACTCCGACAAAAAAGCGTTCCTTTTAATTTTGAGCTTGAGCTTGAGTTTTCCTTCTGATTGGGAGTCATGAGAAGTAATGAACTATTCTTTCGAAGAATTGTTTGGAAAGGAATTATCGCCCACGGCTGATAGCAAGTTGAGATTTGGTATCCCTACTTTCGATTTAGCCCGTGCTTTTTGCAGGAAGGAGGGGGATATGTCCGAGAGGACATTTAGACACATTAGGTCAAACAGCAGCATAATGCAGCAGAACAGCCCAACTTTATATGAAACTTCTAAACGTCACAGACACATGAGAGGTGACTCGCCTCCGCGTAAACGTGCAGCTTTAAGCCAGGACACCAACGACAATCTTATGGCTGCAGTTCTGCAAATGGAGATGCAAGCTCAACAAACCAAGAAGATCAGTGATCTTCAAAAAGTCACAAATATTTCTCACGAGCCAAATTTAAATATCTCCTACGATTCTATTCCCCACAGTTCCTGTGAGGATAATATACGAGCAAATACGGTACGCTCACCGATAGTATCTGATAGCCATAGCAGTGTTGAGGATGAAGCGTCAGGGTATGCAGAGAATGCTGAGCGAACAATTAAAAATGAAATTGCTAGGGCTGAAGGGCGGCTAAAGTTAATTCAAGAGGCGAAGGCTATAACCAGGGGTCCTTCATTTAACTTCAAACCACGCACAATAGAATCTGAAACGAAGGTTTCGATAGCAGATCCAGTCTTAGCCCAACAGAGAATAGAATCTCAACGCTTAGGAATGGACGGCTGGAAGAACATTCGCTATTCGGAGATACAAAAGCACTTCTAAGCACCGCCAGTGTTTTCAGCCTTAAGAGTTAATAATCAATTTGCTAGTATCACACCTAACTGGACTTCTCTTGCTATATTAGAAAAATTCGATTTAACTTTGGGGGCCATAACGAACGGCTTGCTCCAACAAAAGATGGTCGAGCAATTATGTGATAAATTACCGTGAGATTTTAAGCAGATGGTGGGAGAGGAGTTGTAGCCGCTACAACAGCAACAACAACAACAACAACAGAGGAGTTCTTGGCTGATGATTCTAAATTTCGTAAAAGTTAGACTCCCTTCTACAATATGTCTGCGGTCGTAGAGCAGAGTTATCCGACAAAGACGAGACACCTACAAAGTAATAAAAAATAAAGCCTTAAAGCTGTGACAGACGGCAAAGCTTATGCGTATAATCTGGCACACATAATAATTTTGACTTAACAGACGGCAGTTATGTGGATAAACGAGCCGCAAGGTCGTGTGTTCGAGTCCCACGGCCAGTTGAATTTTCATTTATTTCGTTTTCATTCTTTTTTTTTATAAGTTCTATATTTTTTTTACGTTGCTTTCAGTAAGTTATTATTGACTTATTATTAAAATTCAACTCTAAAAATTTAAATTAACTAATAGTAAAATAAAAAATGTGATATACCATAAAGCAAATGAAAACAAAATAAAGCAAAATTAAATATATAGATCAAATAAAATAAAAATATATAAAATAAATAATAAAAACAAAAAAAAATTCGCAATCGCTCCAACCGAGGATCGAACCTGGCAGCTACAGACTTGTAGCCCGAAACTCTTACCACTCTGCTACCGCGGACGCGGAACACGCGTGCTTTGTTTGCTTATAGGGAGTTTACATGATTCAACTTTCACAGGCGATTAGTTCTCCGTGTGGTTCAAGCGAAGGCACGAACACATAAATAAAACTGTTTTTTCCCCGAAGTCCAAAAAACGGATATTTAGGTTTCTGCCGTAGCTTGAACCACACCTTAAGGCCTTGCCTGCTTGAGGTACTGACAAGTATGACAGCCGAGCGCTGCTACCCGAACAAGCATTGGTTCGTACTATTTGTGGTAGATGGCGCTGTAAGTATCAGAGGCGGAATCCCCATGTGGTTTAAGCTACGGCAGAAATCTAAATATCCGTTTTTTGACCTTCAGGGGGAAAACGGTTATATAATTCACTTTTCTCTTCAGCACCCTTCAACTAAATCTAAGTCATTTAAAAACGGACATGCGAAATTCTGTGATAAGTTGCGCCTCTACTACGAAGAACAAGGAATCGCTGGTCTTAAGTTAGATGATGCCATTAAAAAAGTTCGAGAGCATCCAAATCAGCAATACAAAGAGGAAGATGTGGAGGGCCTCGAGCCAATAAAAAATAAGGAACTCTCTAAGAAACAAAAAATTCGAAAGTACATCAAAAAGATAAAAATTGAAAATTTACGTAGTGACGATCAAAGTACATCCCCAAGGCCTGAAATAACCGCAGAAAGCGAACCACAAAAAACGAGAGAGTAATTGTTACTCTTCCAAGTTTTACTGTGTAATTGCTTTATTAGTGTATAAATTAAATACATTTCACGCTCAAGTGCCAATTTTCATTACAGATTATGTTGATATAAAGTTCTAGATTTTATAATGGCTTTAAAATTTTGTGTACGAAATAGGCATATGATTCAAAGTTGCATGACAAATAAACGGACGTTTATCCAATCATAGTACGTTTTCTCCCACGCGCTCGCACTTCTTCAAATTTCGCGACCACCATGGTTTCATCCTTGCCACATTCCTTACGGTATGCTTCCAGAATATACTCAAATAAATATGGCTGTTCACTATGCGTGCTAAGAAGCGCTCGTTCAAGAACATACAAATCAACGCCTTTATCTTCTGCGCTTTGGTTGTAATGACTTAACCCAAAATCAACAAATATAACATCGTACAAGTCATCATTTTGATCGACTTTGGGATTTATAAGAATGTTTGAAGTGGTTAAATCCCCGTGAATAATGTTATTTGCATGTAGCCTCCCAATTATGGAACCAATCTGAGTACTAAGTTTTCTTAGTAGTGCCTCCGCATTATGAGACTGGTATTCACAAACAACTTGTTGAATATACTCTTTGGCTGTGGCAGCATTTTCAAAATATTCCATATAAATCTTACGCTCATTCAGATCGGTATACAAGATATGTGGTACCAATATTCCCGCATTTCGACACCGAGTCGCAGCTTTGGTTTCGGCCTTCATTCGTTGGCGTGTAATTTGTGCATCCAAATCTGCATGTCGATAGCGTTTCACAAAACGTTCCTTTACTAAACATTTTTCTCCCTTAAATTCACTAATGTATAGTCGTCCTTCGGCACCTTGTTTTAATATCTCCAGAGACATGCCAAAGCCAACATTACGAGTAATTACGTCTATCAAACGCAAACTTTTTATTGATAAGAAGTTCAAGGAATCACTTCCTCGCTATACCGCTGTGCTATCAGAGAACCGCTTTTATCGAACGCAAACAAAATCGATCACTTCACCTAGAGAACGCCAAGTTTTGTGATTGTCGAATGTTCGATACAATAATCTCAAAGTCGCATTGAATGCTCGATAGAAAAAGATAATGGGCTGTTTTTGCTTACGCGTAAAAACACATTTAGCTCAAAATGCTACTCTAATACTAATATTTATATTGCTTATTATAGCAGAAAAACGTGAGCACAGAGAAGAAACATAACTTTTCCTTGAGATGTGAGAATAACAAGCACAACAAATTTGACGGCTAATCTGAGATTTGCCTGTGTAAACGGGGTGATTAAAAAACGAGCTTTGATTGAGATAATATTGATATGTGAACATACTTTTATTGTCTTGGTCTATCTTCTTTGACAATACAGTCGACCGGCATGCCGTTTGAATCCTCAGTAAATATACAAATAGAAATAACGCAATTAGGTGAGTTGATAGGCAGGTCTAATATTCTATCCAATTGGGAGTAGGATTTTCAACATCGATTTTTCCGGTATCGATATTGTTCAACCCGATATATCTTCATATCGATTTTACATGCAATGAATTAAATCGAATCATGGTATCGATACTTTCTTAAATATCAAACATTCCCAGTATGAGATGAAGACCCCTAATCTAAAGTAATAAAGGGATAAATTGCTTAAATTTATCAGTTTATCCGCATTCTTTCATAAACGTACGGAACACCTTAATAATACTGACCTTCGAGCTAGAGAAAAAAAGTGGGCACGGCCCGCCTCCTTTTCCGGATTTTAATGGCATATTTTTTTTGGTGCAAATCGACAGGGGCGGCGATAGAGGGGAGTGGGCTAAACGTGGAATTTTCAACATTTTCCAAAAGCTTATATTTCGAAAATTATTGAACCGATTTTCTAAATATCGACACAGTTGGAAAGGTGATTAAAGGGCCTTTCATTGGATATATATATCTATGCATATAATGTATACACATTGCGAGAAAAGGTAAAAAACGAAATTATGGCAATTCTTTTTATAAAAATGAATGCTAGTTTTCAAAATATAAGCTTTTGAAAATGTTGGAAATTCCACGTTTAGCCCCTCCTAGCGCTGCCCCTGTCAATTTTAACCAAAAAAAGTTTACCATTAAACTCAGCAGAAAGGGGTGCACCACGTCCATGTTTTCTTTTTTCTCTAGCTTAAGGGTCGGTATTCTTTAGGTATGCCAAACGTACCTTGGTTAATAATTGCACAAAATTTTTTATTATTCAACTTTTGTGGCTATTCAAGTTTCATTCTTATGGGCTGTTTTTGCTTACGCGTAAATGTACATTTAGCGCATTTAGCTCTAAATGCTACTCTAAATGTACATTTATCCATACAAAATTCGTCATCTAAATGCAACTAAATGCAACTCAATCTTTGCATTTAGAATCTAAATGCTAAAAGCATCCCTGTGATCTTCCAAAATTTCCACGATTCGAACATGGTTTAATGAGAAAAAGTGGCAACATTGCTTTTTCGAGTATACAACCGCTAGCTGCGTTTCAGTGATCGCCGATCGAGATTTCATTTATTATTTTACATTATTTGGATAAAGAAAAGTTACGCAAATTCAACATCGATATGATGCTGATAGAAATCTGGATTAATTTGTGATCAACTCTGTTTGTTTTGTTTCCTAATTAGGTGTGGAAAATATAATTGGCAGCACCGACAAATGAATATATACACAAACAAATGTTCGGTTATGGTTAAAACAATTCAGGTTTTTGTATTGAATTTTCGGTTTAGAATTTATTTTTCCTTTTCAGTAGGGGTTTTTGCACATTATCTTTTCCGTGAGAATTTATCGTAATGGATACGGATCTGAATAAGCGACTGGAACACGACTGTTTGTCAAAAGCAAACGATTTCGAAGTCGCGTAAATGTACATTTGCTAAATGCGATAGCATGAACGCTCTTCGAAAACATATGTTCGAAAGTGCTAAATGTTGCATTTTAAATGCAGCAAAAACGCTGCATTACCTCGTCCAGTTTGCTATTTGGCTTTTTATGTGTTCGTAGCAAAATCGACCAACTGGCAGTCTGTCAGGGTTGAAATTTATACGTTTATCCACCAAAATCGTTTGATAAAGTGATAAACTTTCTTTAAGTAGATGTCCATACCAAGTTTGACAATTCATTTATCAAAATGAAAAATTTATCATTTTATCAAGTTTACCAACGGTTTATCACTTTTGATGAAGACTCCTTTTATCAAGTATCAAGAGTTTATCACTTTTCATGAAGACCCCTAATGTAATATCGTTTAAATAAATGGTTATAAAAACATTAAACATAAAAGCATTTTTTTGAAAATTTGTAGTAAGTCTATATTCATACGCTTGTAACCAAAATTCCATTTCGATTGTATTACGCTTTCTTTCATGCGTTTGTCAGTCTCTTTAAACGCACAATTTGGGTAAAATGATGCACTAAAATGCCTTAAAATGTACTGTCATGTTGAATTAACTCTTCTTTAGTTAAATAAGTGTAAAACTGTGTTGCTCAAAGCAGTTACAAATAAAAAATCGCGTTCTTACGTGATCTTGTATTTTTGGTTCATGCAAATAACCAGATAACCATGCAAGTGTGAACAACCCAAATGTTTTGTCAGTTTAATGTTTATAATTGTACATGAAAAATAAACTCTCATTAAGTTTATTTGCTTGTTGGAAAGTTAAAAGAAACAATGAGGTTGTTCACGCTTGCCTGGTTATCAGGTTATGTGATTATGTGGTTATATTTTTT